TATCAGTCAGATCTGATTTGACGGTACACTCACACAAAAATAATAAAATAAAATAAAAAAATTTTAAAAAAAATCTTCAAACAACTTAATTTATACCACATGCAAGAAAAATCTTGCTGAAGATTATTTAAAAACATCTGAAACAGTACATCATCAGGGAAGTGCTAGAAATTCAAGCTGAATTCAGAAGAGGCTCTGGCACAAAGAACATCATTGCTTAGGTCAGATTGATCTTCGCTGAAATCAGTGAATATCAGAAGACTATCTGTGTTTTATTGACAAAGTAAGGCATTTGACTGTATAGATCATAACAAATTATAGCTACCATTGAGAAGAATGAGAATTCCAGAATACTTAATTGTGCTTATGCAAAACCTGTACACAGACCAAGAAGCAGTTGTCTGAACAGAACAGGGGACACTCTTCTGGATAGGACTGTGCCAGAATTGTATCCATCTTCCAATCTGTATGCTGAGTAAATCATTCAAGAAACTTGTCTACATGAAGAAGAATGTAGCATCAGGATTAGAGGAAGACTCATCAAGAGCCAGCTTTATGCAGTTGACATAACCTTGCGTACTGTAAGTAAAGAGGACTCAAACTACTTGTTGTAGATCAAAGACTACAGCCTTCAATTTAGATTACACCTCAATATCAAGAAAACAAAACCCCTCACCTTTGGACCAACAGTCAACTTTATGATAAATGGAGAAAAGACTGAAGTTATCAGTGATTTTATTTTATTTGGACCCACAATCAACACCCTTGATAACAGCGTCAAGAAATCAAAATATGTGTTGCAGAGGGAAAATTTTCTGTTAAGGACCTCTCAAAAAACCAATACGAAATGGTGTCAGTTTAAAGGCTAAGGTGTGCCTCATCCAAGCCATGGTATTTTCAGTTGGAAAAGGTCTTATGCTGGGAAAGGGGCAGGGGTTAAAGGAAAAGAGGAAAATAGACTGACACAGTGACTGTAACAATGGACTTGAATGCTTGTATGGACTTGACTGATGATGGCAAAGATCATGAGATGGAGCAGGATAAAGGCTCAGATCTGTTGACAAGTTCTCTCTGAGCTAAAGTCAACTCAACAGCATATAACACAACAGAATAGTAATTTAAAGGGGTAATTAAAAAAGTGTAAGACTAACAGCCTTTATCAGGAGAATCCAGTCCCTGGAACAGCACAGCACAGAGTTGGTCAAGGGTCACTGAACAAGAAGACCATTAAAAAAGATGGATTATCACAGTGGCTGAAACAATTGGTTCAAATATAGCAATAATTGTGAGGATTGTGTAAGACCAGACAAGGTTTCATTCACTGGAGAGAATCTCTGTGACTTGTAAGTGCCTCAACAGCACCTAACAACTACCGCCACCATCAAGACTGACAAAAAATGATAACCAATACAACAATGATAACTCAGTTCTGACTCACCGAGAATCACATGGCAAAGTCCAGCTACCTGTGCAGTTTCCTCAGCTATAATCTTGCAGGAGCAGACGATCAGATCTTTCTGATCTGGGCTCTAACAACCAGTGGCAGCAGCCAAGTCCTTAACCACTGCACCACCAGAACCCTTTACAGCAGGCCTATCTTCCTAATATATCAAAACAGGGTTCCTGAGGAATAAAGTTAGAATGCCAGGAGATAAGATGTGATTTATCTTCTCTTTACCATGGAAATGTGAAATTTTATTAACTTCCTAAAACTGAATATATAGCCTAAAAGGCTGTGCTCTTTTATTCATTTACTTTGCTTGTGATTATGACAAATATTTAGATAAATGACGTTAAATCAATAACAACGGCATGCTGATAAATTACCAAAAACACAAGTCTCACCTTGAACCAAACTCTAAGTGGATTTTTTAATGCCAACTACCTCTTCCTATCTTTAAATAACTATTTCAAATAGAACTCTCTATTAAAATTACCTGGCACTGAAAGAGATCAGGGAAATAATTGTTTAAAAGGAATCTATGATTAGGTATTATTTTCATGACAACAGTCCAGGACAAGAGCCACATAGCAAAATGGACCTGGGTCAGAGGGAGAAGGAGGAGGGAAGGAATTGTGCAACAATGAAAGATTTTTTTTTTAAGAGAAAAGTGTACTGGGGTTGGGGTAGGGAGGAAAATGTATAACAATGAATGAATGGAAATCCAAATTCTCAGTAAACTTTTATTAAAATATCAATAAATATTTTTTTTTAATTATCCAGCAACCACCTATGGAAGGCTGTATGGTGCTTTCTCAAAATGTTGCAAATAGAGATACCATTTGACCCAGCAATTCCACTACTGAGAATATACCCTAAAGAAACCATAACTGTTAACTAAACAGATACATGTACACCTATGTTTATTTTGGCTTTGTTCACAATAGCAAAGAATTAGAAACAACCCAAGTGCCCAACAACAAACAAATGCGTAGAGAACTCTGGTATATTCGCACAATGGAATACTATGCTGCATTGAAAAACAAGGAATTCATGAAATATTTCACAAAATGGGTGACCCTGGAGGACATTATGCTGAGTGAAATATCTCAGTCACAAAAAAACAAATACGGCATAATGCCACTGTTACAAAAGAGGACTGACAGGGGTTGAGGGGAGACTGAGAAAGAGGGGCTAAATAATGTATACTGCACTGAAACAGATGAGGGAGAGAACTGATTAGATATTATTGTTATGACAGGAGTCCAGAACGAAGGTAGTATAGTGGGTAGACTTGGGGGGAGGGATTGAATAACAATGAAAGAAGTTTTTCTTTTACTTTTCAAAGATAAGAGCAAATTGGGTGGAGGGAGATGTTGGGCAAAGAGAAAGTGCAACAATGAATGAAGGAAATCCAGTCTCTATAAATTTTCATTAAAATAAAATAAAAATATCCAGCTTTGAGAATATCTGCATTTTCAATTTCTTATTCCCTGCTCTTAAATACACAAAAAACACCACCACCACAGCCAAAACCCACCCTAACCAGCTACCAGTCTTTTAATCAGGTGATAGCAATCTTCTTCCTAGAAAGCAATCTTCTACCTAGAAAGCAAGTGGCTCATCTCCTCAGTATTCATCTTAAGGCAGAAAAAGTCTGCATCAGACAAGAAGAGACAGCCACAGCTAACACAGCATCAGGCCAAGTGCCCCGTCCATCCTTTATCACTGTTATCACTCTTTCTCCAATTGTCTCAGAACAGGACAGAAATGAAGGAAGCTTCGACCTGGTCCCAAGAGGGGACTCCTCTGGGAATGGGCCATTACCAAAGCCTGAATCACCTAAGAACAACTGTTTTCAGGGGAAACCAGACATCTCTGCTAAAATGATCTGTCTGAAAAATTGGCACCTCAGGAGAAGGTATCACAAATAATTTTCGTCTTTATGAGATGCCTGCAGACAGGTTCAGGAGCTTACTTTTTATGAACATATTTGTGTGTGAGATGACACTATATGGAAGAGAGAAATCTTAAACATAATTCAACCCAAGACACTCTTAGGACAAATGCCCTGTGAGGGAACTTGAATTTGGATTTAAAGCACATTTTGTTGCACATATTAGAGCTCTGGTGGCTTAGCAGTAAGGAATTTTGCCCCCAAACCAAAGAGGTTCCAACCTGCCAGCTGCTCTGTGGGAAAAAGATGGGCACTCTCTTCTTGTGCAATTAAATGCCTCTGAAAACTCCCTAGGGCAGCAATGGTCTATTCTGACTCAATGGTACACAACAACAACTGTTTAGTTCAGGGAAGTCTGGTGGCCTAGTGGATTGGAAGCTGGGCTGATAACTCAAAGGCATGTGGTTTAAATCCACCAGCTGTTCTGAAGAAGAAAGACAGGTCATTTCCTCCCAGGTGACTCTGAAAACTTGCTGGAGGGTCAGCTAGGAGTTGGTTCCAACTGAACGGCACCTAACAACATTGTTTGGTTCTGAGACTAGTGAATAGTTCTTATTTAAGAGTTCAGGTATAAAGATGATTTCAGAGAAATAGTTTTGGTAGGCAATAGAGGCTCCAAAGCTGCAGAAAATCTCAAGTCCCTGACAAATTTCAATTCTGGTCTGTATTTTATCCCTTCTACTCAGAGGTCTTCTATACTATCTTTGATGAAAACATTCAGTAATGATAGCTCGGCACTATGCAGTTCTGCTCGCACAGCAGTAGAGGCAGCTGTTGATGAAGGCAATTAACTATACACTACATCCTCCTGTTCTGGTGGTAAGGAATTGCACCAATCCAAAGGCAGGTGGTTCAAATCCACCAACTGCTGAAAGAGAGAAGGATGGGCAATCTAGTCCTGTGCAAACAGCCTCTGAGAATCTGCCGGAGGGCCAGCTATGAGTTTGTTCCAACTCGAAGGCACATAACAATATTTCTAACAGAATCTAGGAATGCTAGTATTATATGAGGCTTTTTTTAAAAGAATTTATTTTATACTGGTTTACTTACAGAGTCTGTATATATTGTTTTTTACACCAGATCTTTCCCATTTCCTTTACCCACTACCCTCTACCCATTAAATTCTGTGACTCCATGATTACCCCCTGCCAATCCTCACCCCACTGCTCCTACCCTCCACCTTGGATCCTCATAAAGCCCACCCTTTTGACCACCAAAGAAGTCCTGTTTGTACCTCACCCAAATAATCATAAATGGCTCTCCTTCTGTGAAATGAAAAACATAACATGTGATGGAAGTCCCAACTATGTGCTAAGCTGATGGGAAGTACTGTTCTTCCCACCCAGCCTGAGACGTCCTATTTGTGGTGCTAAATTAATCCCTAATGATCAGTCACCTCAGGGATGTCTGCAGGCTGCTTTTCTAACTAAATTATAAAATATGCACCTCACTGAGAAGCCTTTGAAAAAGCTGCTACGTGAAAATTGTTTGAAAGAGTCTTTGAGGTAGCAAATAAAAGGCTGCTTTTCTTCCTCCTGCCTTCTTGGCAGTGAGCAGAGCTTCTTCCACCATCAGAAGTTCACTGAGGGGATCTGCACTCACCATGGAACCAGGGAGCAATGGTGTCTGAGGTTTTCTGGTAGCCGGCTCGCAGGGGCAGCTGTTCCTCTTTAAACCACTGTATGATGTCCTTGTGGAGAGAGCTGGAGGCTGTCCTTGTCACTCCCCCATTTCTGTTACTGGTAAAACAGTTTTGAAGTCAGATTTAAAAAGAATGCCTTAAAAAAATCTTCTTTTTCTATTTCTCTATTTCAAGATGTGATCACAATGACTGAACTAATAGGAAGTTAGTCTCAAACACAACACTATTATACAACTCCTTAATGGCATAAGATAGAAAGGACTTCAAATCTGTTACTCGTCCTTCAAGCGCTCTAAAGCTAGCCATCGGTTGGAGCCTCTGCTGTGTTACTGGATGGATTTTAATTCCTTTTTAATATGAATTAGAATCTTCATTAACTCCAAATTAAAATTGGAACAAAGAAGCATTAAAAGTGAAATGTACCCCAGGAATATCCTAGCACTATTTACCCAGAGAGCAAAGACTTGTAAACAAAAGAAATCAAATGTTAATTTCTTTCCTAATATTTTCATTATTCCCTTTTCTGTTCCCACTCATCTCCCTTCTTGTTTACTTATCTTTCATATCACATTTTGAAGCCGTTAGGCGCGACTGAATAGCAAGTCTCAGAAACATGAAGCATCAGAAAGAAGAGTATTTAAACAATGGTAAGAAAGCGATATAGTCAGCAGAATAGTTTTAAAAGGAAGTTAGGAGTAGCACGTGAATTCTGCACTGCGAGTCCATTTCCATTATAGAAAGTGACACTAAAATGCAAACAAGCACATTTCCAACTCCCATTCAACAGTCACCTAATTTTAAGCAGAATTGAATTTAAAAGCAACAATGATAGAGTTCAGATGATCTGCTGTAATTTCTTACGATGTCAAAGCGACTTTATAGTTCTTTAAATTTTTTGAGTATATACTTCTATCATACCATGACTCCTCAAACTCATTACCAAGAAGCCAGAACTGACTTGGAGCTAACACTCGAATGGGCTTGCAGAGGCTGTAAACAGTGCAAGAGGAGACTGCCCATCTCTCTCCCTTGGAGCTGCTGGTGGATTTGAATAGTCAGAATTGCTGTCTTTGGGTTAGCAAAGCAACTTCTATGGACTACACCATCCAAGCTCCCTTACACCATGGTTGTTGGTATCTACTGTCAAATCAGAACCAACCCACAGCTGACCCTCCAGCCCTATTCCAGAGGCAGTTAACTAACCACTGAGAAGAGACTGCCCGATCTTCTCCCACTTACCATGATTACTTATTACATGCATCTCGCTCTTTCTCCCTACACACATACACACTTGTATATACACATGTTACTCATTGCCCTTAAGTTGATTTGCAGCAGAACAGGGGAGAACTGTATCACTGGGTAGTCACGGTTGTAAGTCTGCACTGAAGCTCACTGTCACGTCTTTCTCCCATGGATTAGGTGGTGGGTCTCAACCATTAACCTTTTAGCTGGCAGCTGAGCCACCAGATCCCTGGTGTATATGTATCTGTCCTTATATATTGTACTTGGTATGAGACATACTTGACCAGACAGCATTTAACAACGTGTCTGTATGTGTGTGTGTAACCCTTGTTATTTGCATATTATTTTGGAAGAAATATTCTGACACTTACATGAGAAATAAATAATGCATATGTGTGTAATTATACAGCATGTTCTTAAACTAGACTCCAAATTAGGACCTCCTAATTTTGTTGTGGGATTGGTTTCCTTTGGGAGTTCATTGGAGGTTGACTATAACTCCAAAGATGTAAAGGAGACAGTCTTTGGATATCATCACTAGAAGCACTTCATGCTGATTCTTAAGTTAGAGAATTTGAGTTGACAATATAATAAATGTCCCCTTCCATGGCTGCCTTCATTGCTGTCAATCAAGAAATACACTATGCGATTACAAGTGCTTTGAGAAAAGGGACAGAGTGTGATTTGTATTCCTTTGCTACCTGAGGGAGCTTGGAGAAGAGGATTGGTTACCTCCCCACAGCCTTGCTCAGGTTCTGCAGCCAGTAGGCAGACAGGTGTCTGTTAAAACAAAAAAGACACTTTCTGAACTGTCACTTTGTAGTGCATGGTCATTGAGTGTTGGTCTCCAAGTCTCACAATGGAAATTGAGTGGCATCCACTTCCTAAACAACATGCCTCTGGAAACTCTATGAACTTTGATAAATGTTGATAGTTATAGAAAGGCTTCAGACTTTTTGTTTATAGGGTGGCTATGAGTCGTGCTCAATTTGATGGCAATCAACAACAACAACAACAAAAGTAATTAGAGGAAAATATTTCATATTTCCTCTGAGATCATAATCCCTGTCACAAAAAAAACCATCTTGAAGATAACTACAGATTCCAAAGCAAAAGATATTTGTTTTTCATTTTTCCAATATCTTAACAAAGAAGTATATTTGAAGTTCTCATTCTACAAGGCAAGGATTTAGATAGACAGTTATGTTCAGTTCAATCAATATTTTATTTTAAATGTTTCATTTTTAAATAAATCTCTATATTTTTTACATTATAACATGAAAAACAATATAGTTGTATTAAATAATTTTACAAATAGTAAAAACATCAGAGAGAGTGTTTCTCTGCTGTGCTATTATTGCTTTTCTACAGGTATTTACCAATAATTTACCAAAAACAAAGTGTCTATACTAATTTCCCCAAGGCATACGCAGCAAAGATATTGCTGTTACTGGATAAAAGTATGTATTTTTTTTTAAAAAAAAAGCATTTCCAAATTCCTAATTATCACCTCAGTAAGTGTCCCAGAATGAGCACTTCCATAAAAACTTTCGTCTGAATGGAAGTGTAGTTTGTACTCATTGAATAAGAGTCAGCAAGCTCTTTGGTTCCTTTGTACGTTCTTTTGGAGCTCTAGTGGCCTAATGAATAGGGAGTTACGTTGCCAACTACATACAGAGTTTCTCTGGTGGTATGGCTCCACCATCAACTCCTCCAGAGGTAGACAGGCAATCTTCCCCTGGGCTATTTATAGTCTTAGAAACCCAACAGAGGGTCCATTCTGACTTGATGGCAGTGAGGAGACCAGTTGCTTCCTTTTCTTCTCCATCAGGCTGGGTGCAGGTGGAGAGGAAAAAGGCACTGGACATGATCAATAATCAGCAAAATAACCCTTAGGAGAGAAAGAACACTGAGAGGACGCAGTCTCCAAGTCCACTGTCATTGTGCAAACTACACAACTCAATATTCATTTTCATTCAATTACTGAGTACACCAATTCTAAAAACTGTAGACATTTTGCAGATAAGAAGGAATTACTTCCTAATCATGTATCTCGAGCAGGCAGGTTAGAGGTGAGGCTGAATTTAATTATACAGACTGCCAGTTGGTCCTGCTTTCCCCATGGCTGGTCATGCAATTTGTCTTTAATCAGCGCATTTAAATGCTTATACTGAAAGCCATCTGTGTGGCTTCTTACCTGGGAGGCTTCATAGGGTATCCCGGCGGGTTTAAGAACAGAGGTTTGGGAGGAAGGGGGGGCCTTTTTGGTTTCTGTGAAACACTTGAGAAACTCTGCAGCCCTTCGCCGCTTCTTCCTTTTTGGGATAACCTCTTATAGTCTTCCCGAGCTTGTTTAGCCAGAGACCGTCTCTTCTCATCAGCTGCTTTGGATTTGCGCACTAGAAAAACCACAGGAGAAGACACTTTGTCAGTCCACAGGGCTGGATGGAAGGCTCAGCACTGCACGGTGCTGAACACAGTGGACTCTCAGGGGGCCAGTCATCTGTTTGTGGTCATGACCAGTCACAGCCTATGCCTAATAACTATTCAGACAGTTATAGTTAGGCCATCGCACCTGCCCCAACTTCACTAGAGTCTCTCTGTTTCTATGGGAGTCTGGGGCTTTATAAAAGGGAGGGAGAAGGAAGAGTAAAAGGAAGGTTTGGAATGGAGTGGAGAACTATGTATGCAAGACTTTTTCTTTTTCTTTTTTTTTTTTTTGCCACTGGCAAGTGTAAATAATGTGTTTATCCAAGAGTGAAAACTCAAAGGCATTTTAAAGGAAATATTATCACATCCCTGACACACTGGTGTGCAGATACTTGTGCACCAGCTAGCAAAGCACCACGCAGAAAGCTCAGGGTTGTGAGAGAGCAACAAGCATGTGGCTTGCTATAGATAATGTTGGAATCCCCCCAGGAAAAAACGAAACAGCTTTTACTTTTTTTAGAGGAAAGGAGTCAAAGGTTATATAACTTAATGCCATTAAATCTATTCCAATTCACAGTGACCCTGTAGCAGGGTAGGACAGCTTCACAGAGTTTCCAAGACTGTAAAGTGGAGGCACATGTGAATCGGTCTACCAGACAAAAACCCAAGTGACTCTGAACCACAGATACCTGTGGAATATTGTGGCACATAACAAAACCTTGAAGGGTGCCCTCTGATCAGGGCTCTAAAGGGGTCCACTCCCGTTCAAGGCCCTGCGGACAATGTGCCTTTCCACCACCGATACACGGAATCAGAATCTACTGCTTAACCAGATTCCTTGGGGATTTAAACGAACCATGTGTAGAATTTGTTAAATTGTGGAAAGGCTAATTCTCCATGCGGGGCGTGGGGGATCTGCCAAAGCCCCACTTTAATATTACTTTGTAAAAAGAGGTGCTTTTGTTTTAGCAAGATGGTTTTGCAGGGTTTGTGTACAGTATGTCAAGGATAATTTTTACTGAGTGTATTGACTAAAAATATTGTTAGTCAAACTCTATTGTGTTTGACTTTAAAAAATATCCTAATCTATTAGAATTTCTTTGTCTAGAAGGAGAATAAGAAAACTACTGATTTGGTATCATAAATACTTTCATTTCACAATTGTCATTTTCCTAGTCATGGCTGTAGTGGGATCACAGACTCTCAATATCCTGCAAATGTCGCTCCTGCAGCTCTCCTGCCCCACGGTGTCCCAAAGGATGAACTGGCAGTTCAGGTCTCAGTGTTATGCACCACACATAAATCCTAACCCTCCCTCACACTCCAGTTCTCTAGGACTTTGCCCGCGCTCTGCTCTGCCTTCATTTGCATTCACCGTTCTTCCCCTACGCCGGCTATTTCTGGCAGTGCTAACTCACCAGCGAGTCAGGGTCTGGGGTCACAGGAATGGGATGAATGCTAACACACCCAGCCTATTATTACTGCGGATCTTTAATCCAAGGTTGAAATGTGTTCATTGTTGAAAATTTAAAGAATACAGATTAATAAATAAAACGGGGGAAAAAAGTTGCTATTAGATGCTATTAGTGTGATTATACTTCTAACTACCCTATGAACAACAGATCTGAGCCCTGCCCTGGCCTGTGCCATCCTCCTTAGGTCTGTGACACTTGAGCCCATTGCTAAGTCACTGTGTTAATCCATCTTGTTGAGGGCCCTCCTCCCTTTTCTGGACCTTTTACCTTTCCCAGCATTATATATTTCCCTAGGACTAACTCCTCCTGCTAACAGGCCCAAAGTATGTGAGATGAAGTTTCACCATCCTTGACTCTACAGAACACCTTGGTTGCACTTCTTCCAAGATATATTTGTTCTTTCGGTGGTCCGTAGGACATTCAACACCCTTCCCCAAAACCACAACCCAAAGGCACCACTTCTGTCTTCCTAATTCATTGTCCAAATTTCAGATTCATATGAAGCAAACGAAAATATTCTGGCTTGGAGCAGATGCACTTTAGTCTTTAAACTGGTATTTCTGGTTTTTTGCACTTTAAAGAAGTCATTGACATATTTGTCCAATGTAGTATGTGCTTGGTTTTTTTGTCTACTGCTACCAAGATTATTGGCTGTGGATCCAAGTAAAATGATATCATCCCTAACAACTTCAATCTTTTTGCCCATCTACCTTGATGTTACCTATTGGTCCAGCTGTGAGGATTTCCAATTCCTACTCTAACATTAACATGTTGCTATAAAAAGCCGGACAATGAATGACTAGGGATGATAAAGAGAATTGATGCCTTTGAGCTGTGGTGCTGGAGAAGAGTATTTGAATTTACCATGGACTGCTAAGAGAACAAGTTCATCCTGGAGAGGGTTAAAACAGGCTGCTCCTTGAAGGCAAGAATTCTGAGGCTTCATCTAACATACTTTGGGCATGTTGCAAGGTGGGACCAGTCCTTGGAGAAAGTCATCATGTCATAGGGAAGATTGTCAAGACAGTGCAGGATCAGCAGAGCTTCACCTTGGTGTGTGCAGGGGAGCTGTGAGCTGGGGCCCATTAGAACAGCATCTAGCAACAATAGTGGTCATTGAATGAAGTGAAGGAATCATCTCTGAGAGAAAAAGGCCCCGTGTGTACTCACAAGATGCCTGCCACTCCGAGTCTTCCTTCCAGCTCTTGTAAATCTGCTTGGTCCTCTCTTCATCCAGTTGTTTTATTTCTTCTTCTTTTTTTTTCATGGATTCTTTCTTCTGTTTACCAAACCAGAAACAAACACTGGTGAGTGAAGCAGGCAGCTATCCAAGGGAGCAAGGCATGCAGGGTTACTTTTTAACCTCTCTCTGGCCATTAGCGCGGACACTTGTGCTGGGAGAAAAGCATGGGCTTTGAGACCAGCAGCACCTGAAACTGGCTTCAGCCCTACCTCAGTCGGAGGGAGGTTACTAAGCCTCAGGATGCCTCCCACATATTGACTCAGAAAATCAAGCAAGATTCTGCAGGATTATAGTAGGTCTACGTGCCTTGTCCAGTGTTTATGTGACACACTGTTTGACCCATAGCAATGTCAATTATATCTCCACATGCCCTTAAACAAAGTGTCTGAAAATGCACTACATACATTTCAGGTGGCTCATAAATGACTTGTTTTTCTTAATAAAACAGAAACTAGAAAGAACCTCTTTGTGAAGGAAAAAATATAAAACAAGAAATATGAGTCTTCCATAAAAATGGAAGTAATTTGTAACTAAAGAGAAAAAAAAAACAACCCGAATCACTTAGCCTTAAAAAATACTTTGTTTATTAAGACACTGTCTTTTACATGCTCCAAAGAAAACTGAATTTACAACTCAGCAAACCAAATGAAAATCTTGGTTGGCCAACTAATTGGGTTAAAGACTGACTATGCTTTGTTCTGTCAGGAATTTGCTTGTTTGCTGACAGGATTTGTTTGTTTGGTTTTTTGTTGTGTTTTCCTATCAAAAGATTAAAAACTCCCTTGTTGTCAAATTATTTCAGTGCAACTAAGACAGGTTGATACTGTGAAACTTTCCTTGCATCACCGTGGAAGGCCAGACACTTCCATTAATATAGTCGCCTGTGATGCTCCATAAACTGTCATCAACTTCAGATAGAACGAAGCTTTTAGAGCAATTGCCATTGGGCTCTTTGCTCACATAATCTTCCTTCCTAGAACTAAGGCTTTTTGTTTGTCAATATTACAAAACCCACGGCATATAGCTTCTGGTGTTTAAATGGCTGTTAAGGTTTGTCATCTCACTAAAGCTGTTTACAAGCCTAAAATACACAAACGTGCTGCTGGTAGTTACTGTATTTAAACAGAAAAAAAAAGCCAAATACCCTTGAAAGGGGAGTTTTGTTCATCTTCCAAATGCATGCATAAATATTTATTTTTATAGGATTATAAAAAATATAATTATGACAAAGAGAATGTGGGTATTATTGCTCAGGATAAGCAAAACACTTTCACAAGTTAAGTCTGCTTAAGGAAAAATAGTACGTAAATAAAAATACTACAGGTGGTCCTTAGTTGAGAAGATGACATTCAAGTGTCTGAAAAAGGCTATATTTAGTAAATCATATTCTTTTCTTATCTGCAGTGTAATTATGTGCAGGCACCGTGGGAAGGGAGACACAATTAATGAGTTTCACAGAGGAGTAGCAGAGGTGACCTAGCCTGACATATTTGTTCAAAACACAGGAAATTTTAGAATTTGCCCTGAGTTTCTCTGCTTAAGAATTCCTCTAGAAAATTTACTTTTAGAAAATCTTTAAATGCTCATTCTTTCTTCTCTCTCTTTAGAAAACCGTACTAATTCTCTTTAGGAGAGCTTGGCTAGCAGCATGGAGAACAAGGGCTGGGGCTGCAGCCAGCCTGGCCCGTGATGAGGAAGGCTGTGTGGCAGGAGAGCAGAAGCAGAGACGGTGGGGTGAAGAGTTCAGAGCCCGGAGCCTAAGAAGGTCTGTGCGAGCTATGAGGATGAGAAACTGAGGGCAAATCTATGTCTTACAGAAAGGCTCTTCTGACCTCCTTGATGGAAGAACTTTACAGAATTTTTAGTGTATATACTTACTGTTCTTGTCTGGGCTTTCCAGTTGGCTCTCAACTCACAGCAACCCCCTAAATAATGGGCTAACGTGGTCCTCTAGATTTTCAGTGGCTGATTTTCAGAAGCACATCATCAGATCTTTGTAAGTCCATCTTAGTCTAAAAGCTTCACTGAAACCTCAGCATCATAGCAACAAGCAAGCCTCTGCTGACTGCACATGAAGGGCACTGACTGAGGACTGAACCCAGATCTCCTACATGGAAGGCGGTAATTCTACCACTGAACCACCACTGCCCTCCACTGCCTCATGAGACATGCGCGATTTCCCCTCTGAGTCGGAAGGCACCATGGGATGACGTTCATTTCACAGAGAAGCTTACTAAGTGATTTTCTCACGAACTTCCTCAAACACAGGTATGATTTAAGTTGGAGAAAAGGGGATAGGATGGTAGAGAGCCCTGAGTATGGTCATGAAATGATGTGAAATTGTCATACTCTGATTTGGTAACCATCTAACATGTTTGAGAACCACTGAGCTAGTGCACCTCTCATATTTCAAAGACAAAAACCCGTCAGACCCAGGCTAACACTGAGGTGCCTCAGAGTTCACACATCTCATTTCCATCCTTATTCTAGAGAGGATCTCACTCAGATTCACTGCTTTAAATAGCCTCTGTATTCCCGATCCTTCATACTGGCCTACGTTATTCCCACAGGCCTCTCTCTTTCCATTCCTTAGAATCCCGCTGACAGCTCCACTGTGCTCTGATCAAGTCAAGTACACTCCTGCCTCGGTGCCTTTGTCCTTACTGTTCCTTCTGCCTAAACACAGTTTCCCCCAGAACTCCACATGGTCTCTGACTCCATTTAGCTTTCCACATCTCAGTTTCACTATCACCTTCTCAGATTTTCTGTGACCAACTATATATCAACTCCCACCTTTAACCCAGCACTCCTCAGCAACCTTATCATGCACTTTATTTCCCTCCACCTGACTTCATGTGTGTTTTTACTATCAATCAATCCCTTTCATCCGGAACAAAGGTATTCTGATGGCAGGGATTTTATCCAAATTGTTTGCAAATATTCTCTCCAGAGATGGCCTATTGGTAAGAAACTGCTTTGCCAACTCAAGGGAAGGAGGTTCAAATCCACCAACTGCTCCGTGAGACAAAGATAGGAAATCTCCTCCCATGCAATTTTACCACCTCCTAGAGATGGAGTCCCACCGCTATGAGTCGGTTCTGACTCAAAAGCATGGAACAACAACGTCTGCAGTAGTTCCTTGCACACAGGTGCCTAATACATATAGATACTCAATAAATGCAGATTGAGTGAATAAACGATCCTTTGTATTTCTCGGTTGTTACCACATTAAAGAAATTTCCCTTAGATCTTCTATACCATATACATATCCTCTAGTATTTGTAACTGCAATCCAGAAGAGTGATATGTCTATGGTAACAATCCAAAACTTTATCATGATTTCTTAAGCTCTCAAAATGCAGGCTCTCCAAGTCCACGCGTGTCGCTAGAGAGGAGTCAGGAACCCACCTGCCATGTTGTGTCCCCAGGAGCGCAGGCTTCTGGGTAGGTTGTTTGACAGCTTATCCCCAGGCCTCTGGTGCTAGAACGCTCCTCTCTGTATTATAACACCTTCCCTTGCCTCTTCTGAGACTTCCTAAGGGGCAAGTCCTCCCACAGTCCCAAGTCTTCATCTTTGTATCATTTTTCTCTCACTGCCGCTGAGTTGGAATCCACTCACAGGTGACCCTCCAGCCAGTTTTCTGAGGTTGTAAATTGCAAGCAGGAGATTGCTTGTCTTTCTCCCAAGGAATTGCTGGTGGATTCAATCCGCTAGAGAGGCGTGGCCTTTGGGTGAGCAGTGCGAATCCCTGTGGACTAGGCCACCAGAGGGATGACAGAATAAGGAAAATTAAAGAAGGTGCCTTTTCATCATGGTGCCAACAACTAATTTTGAGATATGCCATGGACTTCCAGGAGAATAAACACAATGATCTTGGAAAAAGTACAGCAAGAAGATCCCTTAGCAGCAAGGATGGTGAGATTTCGTCTCTCTTGCTTTGGACATGTTATCAGGAGGGACCTGTCCCTGGAGAAGGACAGTCAGTATATTTGGTAAAGTCAAAGGTCACCAAAGAGAGAAAGGTCCTGGACAAGATGGAGTGACATGGTGGCAGCAATATACTCAAATGCAGCAATGACCATGCGGATAGGGCAGGACTGGGAAGTGTTCTGGTCTGCTGTATGCAGGCCTACTATGCACCCAACAACACGAAACATGATAAAATCATATTCTAGCCTCAAGGAGGAAGTGGGGCGTGGCCTGTAGGGAGAATCTCACGTCTGGGTCAATGTGGAGCCCTGAAGGAGTGCCTGGCAAGGGGACAGAGCTGGCACAAGAGGGCTTCTGGTGGAAGGATTATTGTTGTTGTTAGGTGCTGTCGAGTCGAGCACGACTCATAGCAACCCTATGAACAAAAGATCTGAACCCTGTTCTGTCCTGCGCCATCCTCACACTTCCTGACACACAAGAGCCCATTGCTGTAGTCTCCAGGTCAGTCCACCTGGTTGAGGGTAGGATCACAGAAATAATGAACGCAGGAAAAACTTAATTGTAATTCACCCCTTTTTGACAGATCTAATACTCTCTGAAATCAGTCTCCCTGCAGCATTTGCAGCAGTCCAGGAGGTCATCATCTCTATTTTACATCTTCAGTGAGAAGCTTAGAAGACATGTCTTAGCATCTGTTCTTTTCGTGATACTGCCCCAACTGCAGATAAATGGGTAAAGATAAATCTCTGTGTTTGCAGCTTGTAAGACAGACTTCTCATTCTGTTGCCTCACTTTATTTCTGCATGGGACTAATTTACCGATTAGTGAAACATTAGTGAAAATGTGATGCATTAATCCCCTTGAAGACTGAGCATTAAGTCTTTTACCTGGTGAAATCCATATGTCTTCATTCGATTGATAGAATCTGCCAACATTTGCTGAATATTTCGTGGAGAACTAGAGGGTGACTAAGAAAGAAAGGAAATACATTTTATTTTTTCAACTGGCATTTAGAGAGGCAACTTCATTTCAGAAGCTAATCTCTTAATGTCTCTCTCGGTTCAGCTTCCCCTGCACACAGCTAAGCATTTTAACCACTGCACAAGGGCAATCTTCCTCCCTAAATAACACCAAAATCAAACCCACTGCTTTGAGTCGATTCCAACTCATGTCCACACTCCATCAAGTTTCTGAGGACATTACATTTTAATGGGAATAGACTGATCAGCTTTCTCTTAGAGCACCTGCTGGATCCGAACCACTAACCTTTTGGGTAGCAGCCTAACATGTAACTCACATAACTACCACAAGGGCTTCTTCCTCCTTCAATAAGTTTAGAAGTTAATTCCTGCCAAGAGCCAGGTTTGGTCGCAATAATTGGGGTTGTGTGTTTTGCTGCCATCTGGTCCCTGGGCCCCTGGGATGACATTACTACTTAATTTACATTCTTTTTTCCTTCTCTTAATCTTTGCTCTGCCTCATCCTCTATTTTAACTCAGAGCAGAGAGATGCCCTAGTCTCTGATATTTAACTCTGCATAATGTCTTGTTTTCCCCCAGGACTGCAGACATGTCTGCAATACCAATTTGGTGCCTGGGAGCCCTGCTCACTTCTTCTGCTTGGACTATACTCTTCCCCTCCTTGGTAACCCTCTGCTCTGGTTACCCAGTTTAGTATCTAGGTTTCTACAGATCTAGATGGATTTCCCCGTGGGAAACTCCTGCCAATGGGTTCCAAGATCCACTGCGTAGATTCTCTGGTGTCATTCCTGCCTGCCAAATGCCAAACCCTCTGGCATTGTCACTGAGCTGGTATATCACATCAGATGCCTCGTAAGACTAGGTCAGTTACACCGCTCGGGACACCCATTTCCTGACCCGAGTACAGAGTATAGAGCTTGAGCCAAGCCCCAAAGCTTCACCATCTTCTCCCTTAGCCCAAATATCCACCCACAAACCAGTTTCCTATTTGCCTGCGACCTGAGGATTTATTCCAAGATTCTAAACACAGCGGAAATTGTCAGCAAACTCTCAGCAAAAGGCCAGTGCTAGTCTGGTGGCCTAGTGGCAAGAAGCTATGCTGTAATTCCAAAGGCATGCAGGTTGAGGCCACCAGCTGCTCTGCAGGAGAAGGATGGGCACTCTCCTCCTGTGGAACAGTTAATAGCACAGTTGCAATAGTTAATAGCAGTGGCTTCTGAAAATCTGCCGGAGGATCAGCTATGGGTCAGTTCTGACTCTACAGTACCCACCACCACCACAACAACAGTATTCACTTTGGTGCACAGAGGGTACTGAAGGGTCATCACAGTGCCATGAAATAAACTACTGTGGTGGAGATGTGTCTGTGTCACTCTGTTCTTCTCCCACTGTAGCTGCAATAGGACGACTCAGCAATATTGCATTTCCTAGCTGCCCTAATAGTTATCCCCAACATAATGCACTTTATGTGGATTTGAACCACGTGACTTTGGGTTGACAGTGCAACTCCTTACCCACCAGGCCACCAGAGCTCCCTGCAATGATGATAGCATGGAAGAAGCATAAACTCTTTCAAATCGGCTACTTTCAGTACAACCCTTAAAACCTTCTCCACATGCTCTTGCATGCCACTTGTCCCTTCCTCTGAGATGGAGTGGTGAGAACAGTGACACTCCTGTTGAAGATAGCAAGGCCATTCAAGCCTGAGTCCTTGAATGACTACCTGGATCTGAGTCCACATGAACCAACACTGACCTTGGACTGTCAGCTAAAAAGGCCAAACCTACTGCTATTGAGTCAATTCCAACTCACATTGCCCTCAGTCGGATTTCTGAGGTTGAAAGGAGGCTGCCTCCTCCGTTTCCCATGGGGTGGCTGGTGGATTGGAAGCAGCTTCTAGGTTAGTGGCCCAGAATGTAATGCACTATGCTATCAGGGCTCTTGGCACTGCTAAAAGAGAGAAACACACTTTATGGTTCCTTGTGCTGAGAGAAACTCCTATTAGCTTGGCCATTCTTTTGGCATCGTCTTCTTTAAAAAGACTAGTTTGCCTTAACTGATACAACTTGGTCACAATTACTGGTGGCAGGTTTGAAGCTGTCCATTGAGATTTCTGCCTAAACAAAGTAGGTGTTATCAATGCTAATTCTACAGCAGCATCTAGTCACTGACTGTTATAATCAGGCACTAAACTAATTACTTAACATGGGTTTCTTTGGTTTTTATTTTTATACTCCTCATAGCAGCTCTGATGGAATGAGAATGAAATGCTCATATTTTAAAAGAAGCAGAATCTCAGAAGAGTAGCCCAATTGCTCAGGATCACACAACTATTTTGTGCCAGAGTTTATACTTTCCCACTCAATTATCATTATAGAGAACTCTGGGGGCCTAGTGGGTAAAGAGTTACACTGCCAACCCAAAGTCACATGGTTCAAATCCACTAAATGCCCTGGGGGAGAAAGCTGGGCACTCTCCTCCTGTGCGATTTACAGCCTTTGGAAACCAGCCGCAGTGTCAGCTATGACTTGGTTCTGACTTGATGACACATCACCACATCCTAACCGTAGTGTTAAGAAAATGATCAGAAGAATTCTTGCTCTTTTCAAAGTAATGAAGAAAGTAACTTCTCAAAGAAATGAATCCTACAGGTTTTTGGCAAGTTCTGCCTCAAATTCATCTTACTATTAAAATGGATAGTTATCTGCTCTCTCTGTAGAACAGTTCCTCCACTTATGGCCAGGTTTAGAAAAGTACCAGAAGGGTTATGCAACTAAAGTCAAAGATTACGCTTAAAGACTTGAGCATGTAGTGCTTGAATGCATTTCCACAACACGGAATGTGAGTTTTTAAAGGTCTTTTAAAACCACGCCCTTTCTTCTCTTCCTTGCTAGCACAAGATTTCTATGGCATGTCATTTTGCAAAAAAGGATTGTTTATTCTGAGTCAAAAATTAGGAAGCAGGTAGCCATTCTCCTTTAATATCACCCTCAGATACTGTAGATAGCGCTCTGTCAAGGCAACCTGCATTCCCAGCCTTGCCATTTATTTGTTTCCGAAGTACTCGGAGCTACAAAACTAGCAGAGCTTGGCACCAAGGGTATGCCAGCAGCAGCTTCACTAGGTTCAGCCATCAAGCTCCAGAACAAACCTAGTTGTTTCTTGCATTAGCATTAGGCTACTAGATATCTGACACTGTTCTTCTTTTTTTTAATTATTAAATTTTATTAGTTTTAATGAACATTTACAGAGATTTTG